TTGGGGGGAAGTTTTTTAAGGAATATAGACTTAAGAGCTGATCTATAGCTTTGACATCCTCTACAAGATGAATTGGTATGTATATACTCTCTAGGTTATACTCTTTTAGAACATAAACTTAAGAACTGATCTACCTGAAAAAATTTTACGAACGATGCACCTTTACTAACCTGTGGAATTCGCATTCGATAATCCATTTCCTCATTGTATTAATGCTCACTAGCAATGACCTTCTAACAAAAATCAAACTAGACACGTTTTCTTTTTACACGCATGTGTGTTTTTTCATATTTCTTTCTATATCCAAAAACATGAATTTTGTATTTTTGTTTTAAAATTGAGAATATGTACTATGGTGAATGATCTCTCCTATTGCTACGAGAGAGAGAGAGAGAGAGAGAGAGAGAGAGAGAGCATAAAATTAGCATTTTGTTGTTTTTCCACTTCACCGGTATTAATCCTAATATATATAATATAATAATTCTTTTTATATATACAGGCTAAACCTAATTGAAACGGAGTAAATCGGTAACCCATTAACCCTTGAATTGCTAGCTCGAATGAGCCAACTGATTAAACCGGATTGACAACTCTTCTTGACCATTTTCCATCTTCCAAATTGCAGTTACTCAACTTTTTTAATCAGTGTTTAGTGTATGACCATTCATACTACATTTTTTGTTGTTTTGGTTCATAATTGTCTCTATATTTTGGTTCAAGTTTAGATTTTAAGGAAGTCATCCACCTTTCAGACATTGTGGATTTGTATATGCTCTTCTTTGGAAATTGATAATAAGATAAAACCAACATTAGAAATTTACCTTATATGGAAGCAAAATACCGTTGGTACTCTTTTCTCCTGTGACACATTGTAAGCTTTTCTAATCCATTTGTTTTCAGCGCATTTGAGAGAAAATAGAGATGTCGCAACTGGGACTCATTACAATTCAAGCACTTACTTTTAGCTGTATCTTTTTTTTCATTTCCTTCTTCTTTTTATTAACCTTATTTTCACCAATATATGTAATTTTATTTTTTATTTTCCTTTTATGTTTTCATACAACTTTATGTTCAATGCTAATAATAATTTGGTCTAGCAATACTATTTTTTTGTTTTCTAACCTCAAAATTTAACACAAAAAGCTACAAACAAACATAAAGAAATCTTTCAATTTAAAACCCATTAAAGAAATAGAATTAAAAAAAGCCCTAACGGGGCCTAACCACAACTCTTTTCTAAACAAGTTTAAAAACTATTAGTGTCCGGTTGTTTCAACAATACTAAGGGCACAAAGGCTCTCTCTATAGGCACGTCTTTACTTATTTACTTTTACTCGCTCCAATAGTTTTATGTAAGAACTATCTGTAACTTGCGATTCTCTTAGCTAGATTGATTATAAAAAGATTTAAGATATGTACAGAAGATAGAATAAAATTGAGAATTAGATATCAAAGAGGAAATTGGTCATAATAGAGGAAATTTGTCATTTTTCGAATTGACTCATGGGCCTTTAGGGAGAGAAGATTTGAGATTCAGAGAGTTTTGAAGAATAAGTTTAGAGGGAGAAATGCTAGGGGCACAAAGGCTCTCTCTGTAGGTACGCCTTTACGCATTTACTTTTACTCGGTCTAGTAGGTTTATGTAAGAACTATTTGTAACTTGCGATTCGCTTATCGGTAACTTGTGATTCGCTTAGCTAGATTGATTATAAAAAGATTTAAGATATGTATAGAAGATAGAATTAAGAATTTGAAAAGATAAAATAAAATTGAGAATTAAAGATTGGAGAGGAAATTAGTCATAACGGAGAAGAACAGGCCGAGTCCAATTTGTCATTTTCGAATTGACTCTTGGACCTTTAAGGAGAGAAGATTTGAAATTGAAAGGGTTTGAAAAAATAAGTTTAGAGGGAGACATTTTGCATTAACTTTCTTGATTGTTTCTAGAAATATAACAAAAATACATATTTATAGGAAAATACTGAAACACCTAATAAAAAATTAATAATGTCTGGCCAAATAATAATTATAATCTCTCTATTAATTTAATAGCATATATTCTACCAATTTAGTTTAGTGTTTACCATTATATATTTTTGCAGTTTTATCTTGAATTATAATGACAGCAACGCCTGTTCACTACGCACACCTACCTGCTGGTAGAGGGCGCTGCCACTTAGATCCATACCGATTGGAGCTTCCTGAGATCCACGAGGACATTGTTGACAAGATGTACTTTTGCTAGGTTGAGCCATTGAGGTGTTAGGTTTGCATTTGTAATTGGTTTGTTTGTTATTTTGTAATTGGTTTGTTTGTTATTTTTTATTTAGGGGGAAAGTTTTTTAAGGAATATAGACTTAAGAGCTGATCTATAGCTTTGATATCCTCTACAAGATGAATTAGTATGTATATACTCTCTAGGTTATACTCTCTTAGAACATAAACTTAAGAACTTATCTACCTGAGAAAATTTTACGAACGATGCACCTTTACTAACCTGTGGAATTCGCATTCGATAGTCCATTTCCTCGTTGTATTAATGCTCACTAGCAATGACCTTCTAACAAACATTAAACTAGACACGTTTTCTTTTTACACGCATGTGTGTTTTTTCATATTTCTTTCTATATCCAAAAACGTAAATTTTGTATTTTTGTTTTAAAATTGAGAATATGTACTATGGTGAAGGAGGTAATTTGTCTCTCCTATTGCTACAAGAGAGAGAGAGAGAGAGAGAGAGAGAGAGAGAGAGTCACGATGATGAGAAGTGGATGAGATGAAGTGTGTTGGGATTTGGGAAAGAAGGAAGTAATTTTAATTAACATAAAATTTGCATTTTGTTGTTTTTCCACTTCACCGATATTAATCCTAATATATATAATATAATCATTCTTTTTACATATACAGGCTAAACCTAATTGAAACGGAGTAAATCGGTCAACCCATTAACCCTTGACTTGCTAACTCGACTAAGCCAACTAATTAAACCGGATTGAAAACTCTTCTTAACCATTTTCCATCTTCCAAATTGCAGTTACTCAACTTTTTTAATCAATGTTTAGTGTATGACCATTCATACTACATTTTTTGTTGTTTTGGTTCATAATTGTCTCTATATTTTAGTTCAAGTTTAGATTTTAAGGAAGTCATCCACCTTTCAGACATTGTGAATTTGTATATGCTCTTCTTTGGAAATTGATAATAAGATAAAACCTACCATAGAAATTTACCTTATATGGAAACAAAATAGCGGTGGTACTCTTTTTTCCGGAACACATTGGAAGCTTTTCTAATCCCTTTGTTTTCATCGCATTTGAGAGAAGAGAAAATAGAGATGTCGCAACTGGGACTCATTACAATTCAAGCACTTACTTTTAGCTGTATCTTTTTTTTTCATTTCCTTCTTCTTTTTATTAACCTTATTTTCACCAATCTATGTCCTTTTATTTTTTATTTTCCTTTTATGTTTTCATACAACTTCATGTTCAATGCTAATAAAAATTTGGTCTAGCAATACTATTTTTTTGTTTTCTAACCTCAAAATTTAACACAAAAAGCTACCAACAAACATAAAGAAATCTTTCAATTTAAAAACCATTAAAGAAATAGAATTAAAAAAGCCCTAACGGGGCCTAACCACAACTCTTTTCTAAACAAGTTTAAAAACCATTAGTGTCCGGTTGTAGTTACAGTGATTTATAGAGTTTAGATCCCTCATATCATATCAATGCTATCTTGTAAATTTGTTGGCATATATGTGGAATATCTAAACACTTAGGGTTGTTGTTTCAACAATGCTAAGGGCACAAAGACTCTCTCTATAAGTATGTCTTTACTTATTTACTTTTACTCGCTCCAATAGTTTTATGTAAGAACTATCTGTAACTTGCGATTCACTTAGCTAGATTGATTATAAAAAGATTTAAGATATGTATAGAAGATAGCATAAAATTGAGAATTAGAGATCAAAGATGAAATTGGTCATAACGGAGGAGAACAAGCCGAGTCCAATTTGTCATTTTTCGAATTGACTCATGGGCCTTTAGGGAGAGAAGATTTGAGATTAAGAGGGTTTTGAAGAATAAGTTTAGAGGGAGACTTTTTGCGTTAACTTTATTGATTGTTTCTAACAAAATAACCAAAATACATATTTTTATAAAAATACTAAAACACCTAATAACAAATTAATAATTTTCGATCAAATAATAATGCTAATATTTCTGTTAATTTAACAGCATATAGTCTAACAATTTAGTTTAGTGTTTACCATTATATATTTCTGCAGTTTTATCTTGAATTGCAATGATAGCGACACATGTTCACTACGCACACCTAGCTGCTGCGTACCCAGAAATTTCATTAAAGGTATTCACCGCTATACCAAAATATCTAAGGGTTGTCAAATACTTTCGAATCCAAATACTACCATCACTAAAATAAAAAAATTCACATGTTTTTTGTTCAAATTTTGGGTTTAAGGCTTGTCAATTGACAAACCATTTTCCCAAGTAGGTCCGCCCCTGATTGATACATTGTCATCAATGCATGCATAATAATATACATATATATATATATAATAAAATTGGTGTATTGTAGTTTACAACGTTTGATTTCTGTGATGGTTATTACAAACTTTGAATAAGCTATATTACTTGTTGAGTGAAATGTCACTTTAAACATTTGTTTTTAATATAAAAAAGTTAGGAGTATAGTTGGAAGAATAAAAAACCCAACAAACTCAATCAAACATTCTCAACAATTTCAACCAAAACTTGAGATTCAACTATCACTCATTCTAAATGATAATTTGTGTCAAATCAAGAGAACAATGCATATATTTTTTGTGAAAATTTTAAAAAAAAAAAACAATACATTGTGAGAATACATGCTTTGTAACCAAAACCAAACGAACCATCAGCAACATATGAATGGAACGAGGCGCTTTGTAGCTTTGTGCTGTCCCAATCACATGAGCCATTCCATTACCCACAATTAGCGTTTTTAGTGTGCGGCGTTCTTGAACAACACTCCCTTCCAAAAAATCCTATCTGATTCACATCCCCTGCTCTCTTCCGCTCTTCCTGCTAGCCATTCCCTTCAATCCCTCGACCAATAAATTTCACTTCAATCCCTTTTCTCTGCCGAATTCATTTCTTCCCTAATTGGGTTCCTTTCTGGTCGCCTTCCATTTTCGGTCCAGTTTCTAGTTTCTTAACAGTCATTCATTGCTGTCGATGAACAGGGAATCTCTGCCCATTCATTATCGCTGAAGAAGCATTAATTTGTCGCCATTCTCTCACTTTCCACTTTGTTCCCCTTTTTCTCCGCTTACAAAAATTCCCAGTGGAGAAGAAGATAAGAAGAATTGGAATCTGGGGAGAAAAGGGGAGGAAAGAAAAAGATGAGCTGCTCTGTTTATCTGGGTTGTTGGGTACACACGTCTTCCGTCTTCTTCGCCAGATCCAGATCCAAATCCAAATCCCTGACTCCGCCCCTCAAAACCCTCTCCTTCCCCATCAATTCCTCGATTCCACCGCGACAGCGCCGGCGCATCGCCACCGTATCCGCCGTCCTCACCAGGGAAGATAAGGAATCATCGTCCCTAGATGAAGAAGAATCCAATACGAAACCCACCTTCGATTTCAAGTCCTACATGGTGCAGAAGGCGATTTCGGTGAACCAGGCGCTCGACGCCTCCGTCCCGCTGAAAGAGCCGGCGAAGATCCACGAATCGATGCGGTACTCCCTCCTCGCCGGCGGGAAGCGGGTAAGGCCGGTACTCTGCCTCGCCGCCTGCGAATTGGTCGGGGGAAACGAATCTATGGCCATGCCCGCCGCCTGCGCCGTGGAGATGATCCACACCATGTCCCTAATCCACGACGATCTGCCGTGTATGGACAACGACGACCTCCGCCGCGGGAAACCCACCAACCACATCGTGTACGGAGAGAGCATCGCCGTTCTCGCGGGGGACGCCCTTCTCGCCTTCGCCTTCGAGCACATCGCCGTCGCCACGCCGACGAACGTGCACCCATCTCGAATTGTGAGGGCGATTGGGGAATTGGCGAAGGTAATTGGTGGGGAAGGTCTGGTTGCCGGCCAGGTGGTGGACATCAGCTCCGAAGGAAATTCCGAGGTGGGTTTGAAAGAGCTGGAGTTCATCCACGTACACAAGACGGCCAAGCTGCTCGAGGGCTCGGTGGTTCTGGGTGCGATCCTCGGCGGCGGGAGCGACGATGAAGTGGAGAGGCTGCGGCGGTACGCGAGGGACATCGGGCTGCTGTTTCAGGTTGTGGATGACATACTCGACGTGACCAAATCGTCTCAGGAATTGGGGAAGACGGCTGGGAAGGACCTGGTGGCGGATAAGGTGACTTATCCGAAGCTGATGGGGATTGAGAAATCCAGGGAGTTCGCGGAGAAGTTGAATGAGGAAGCCAAAGAGCAGCTCGTTGGCTTCGATCCGGTAAAGGCTGCGCCTTTGATTGCTCTGGCTAATTACATTGCTTATAGGCAGAACTGAGAATCCAGATTAGGGTCTCTGTAATGTGGGATTTTGTTGTAGTAGAATTACCAATTGGGTCGATTTAGTAAGAGCAGAAAGGGGTGATTGGGGGAGATCTGTGCCACTGTGTAATATTATGGAAATATGGGTTATTGTAAGCATGGAGATTATTAACTTAGCTCATGGTTTGTAGCAGAGTTTAGAACAGGTGGAAATGATAGCCATGAATTAATGGTGAGATTATTAATGGATGTGGAATGTTGTAGTTTCAGTATGATGGGTTGGAGAGTTCTTTCTGAGTGAACTCAGAACTGATCTGGTTTGTCATGGAGCAAGAAGACTCCATGAGTGGGTAAATGCTGAGCATGAAACGCCATAGCAAGGATAGAAGGAAAGGAAAAAGTGGGGATGGGGAAATGCAAAATCGAAGGAAGAAAATAAAAAGAACGCCGTTGCCGGGGATCGAACCCGGGTCACCCGCGTGACAGGCGGGAATACTTACCACTATACTACAACGACTTTGTTGTTGATAATTCTCCTCCTGCTATCCTAATTCTTTAAAATGGAACCATTTGACGGGTCTTTTTCATTTGCCTGGTGAAGACAATTTGGGAATAGATGTCAATGGAGAATATGGTATATGGCCGTAAAGAATGAAATTATGATATGTGATAAAACGATCACTATTGCTTCGTGATTAACAATAAAATCTTGATGTCATTTGAAGAGCCTTCGTAATAGGATTGTGATTAATTAGTCAATAATACAACACTTTCAAATTTGTTCATTTTCCATATAATTTGCATCATATTGAACAAGAAATGAAGTAGAGCAGGTGTAATATACCGCTGCTTAGAGCGACAACGCGATGCATGATTAAACTTCACGAAGGTTTGAAATTTGTTACAAAGCGCGCGATGCATAGTGATCATTGATGTGGCTTGATAATGTCCAATAGTGTCAGTGAAAAGGCATAGGTTCCTAGCCTGGCTGGCAATTTGAGATTGTTTAACTACCAGAGCTAACATGCACATTGGATCCTTTGATGCGCACATTGTTAGAGAAAATTTAAAATTTGAGGATGAATAGATCGACAAGGCAAGAGTAGCGAGGGCAAAGTTTGGAAGAGGCATGATAAGGAACATGACGAAGGTAAGAAGAAATAAGTATTGATTGATTGAGACTATAAAGTATAAATAGTGATAAGGAACATGACGAAGGTAGATGATTACCAAACTCTTTGATTTCCTAGTCTACCGGCAATTCCCATTGATTCCGATTCCCATCCTACGAATGAAAATTGTGCATTTGGCTTAATAGTAGTTGATTAAAGATTATCTGCATGAATAATCTAATCATTACATAAAATATTCATATTATCCAACCACTAATAATTCGTTGGAGTCAACTTCAAGGGTAGATTAGTCATTTGGCCATTTGATTCCTCGTTCCAGGAAGCATTCGCATTGGAAGTTAAAGTTTGGAACTGCTCTTCATTTGCCCCCTTTCTTACCTGCAAAGCCCTTCTTCAACGCAAAATATGCTATATAGTCTTCCTATTCTATGCAATGCACGATCTAGTCCTTCAAGATTCATGAGGCATATTAGGTGTTCAATCAGCTCATCTTTCCAAAATGAATATCTTTGTTGTTTCTGAATGATACTACATGTAGTAGATTCATACTTTTCAAAAGGAAGAGTGACTAAATAAGATGTTCTGGAGTTTGAACTTGATGTTACAAATAAAGACGATTGGTGACAAAGACTATCACTAATACAAACAACTAAGAAATATAATGTATTGTGACTAATTTGATATAGCCGATGTTTAAGGCCGCTGACAAAAAAATTATTAAGTGGGGTTTTTTATGAAAATGGACGATGAATATCGTCATGATACAGTAACATATTGGAAGAGAAATCAATTTCAAAGTCATACAAATACGATCGTACACGAGGGCACATAGATCATATGAATCATTTGAGTGTCAAGCAGAAAGGCGAAGTCGGTGGTAGGCTTCATCGATACTTAATTAGTAGGTTGGTTGAGTTGAAATACAACATAACAAGCCAAACTCATATAGTATCCATCTTGAGGCTATGGAGTAATGGGACAACTTCATTCTAATCCTACACTAATGAAATATTATTTGATGAAACAATTACCCCCTCATAACTTTGGACAACACATGATCCGACTTTTGACACCGCCTCAGTAATTAATTACTTACTCTTACATAAGTAGTTAAGATATCATGTACTACGGACCAAATCATATAACTCAAAAGATACAAGATCCAATCACAAATTGTACAGAATCTCAGGATACCCAATGTAATTAACCAAAAAGTCTTCAATTTGGGATTCATTTGGAAAGCTGTTTTGTTCCCATATCTGGCCAATAGGCAGTAGCCACCGAACAAATAAAAATATGAAATTAGAAGTTGAAAACGAGCTACCAAAATTCAACGACGACACGAACCAAACAAAGCAACGACGCGGATAGTTAGTTGATTAAGATTTAAAGTTTAAACAACCATAAGTTAATAAACCTCAAGCCAGTTGACGACGACATAGTTTCCCTCTCTCTTCTCTAACAATACTCCTCCTCTTTGCTCTCTTCCTCAAGTCTCTCACAAGTGACAACCCCCATTTCTCCAGCCGCCTCACTCGGTTCTCTTTTTCGCTTCTGGGCGAAATCCCTCCTTCCCAATTCGCAAGATCGCAACTTTTGGCATTAAGCTTTCCTGGGTCAGCTTCAGATTCGGCCAATCTTCAGGTACTTCGAAGCTTTAATTAGCTTATTACTTCCCAAAAGAAGCTCTTTGGAGAAAATTCTCTTATAGGGCCTTCAATACTGTTATAATTCGGCTTTCAAATTCTGAACTCTTTGGCTGTAGGTCTAGTTTAGCTACTCCGATCCCTCAATTTTGCTGCATTTGTGTAATTTAGGACTTGGTGGCTTCGCATTTGGGGGAAATTTCTGAACAATACTCTGGTAGATTGTTCTTAGCTCTTACAGTGGCGAGCAAAGCATCTGATTTTCGACTTCTGTGATTCATTTGCATGTGATGGGAGGGCAATGTAGTAAGGGCAGCAAAACTAATGAAGACCCCTCGCCATCATCAAGCAAGGGCAGCAAAAATATGGAAGACCCCTCACCATCATCAAGTAAGGGCAGCCAAGCTATTGAACCCTCACCTTCGAACTCCACCACGAACCCTAATCACCACATGTCAGCAGCATTGACCTCTTACGAAGACGCCTGCAAAACCGATCCAGAACTGCAGGCATTCGATGCAACCCTCCACGAGAAAACCAATCGAGTCATCAACAGCCTTGCCACAACCGTCGAGGTCAGATCCTTGTCCTTTGATTCTCTCAAAGAGGTCACCAGCTGCCTTCTCGACATGAACCAGGAGGTAGTCAAAGTCATACTCGACTGCAAGCGAGACGTGTGGAAAGATGATGACTTGTTCGAATTGGTAGAGGAGTACTTCGATAACAGCATCAAGACCATAGACTTCTGTGTCGTCCTCGAGAACTGCCTTAAGCAAGCTCGTAATAGCCAGTTTCTTGTCCAAGTTGCTGTCAAACAGTTCGAGGAAGAATGTCCTTTGCAAGTAGGGTTTGCAAAGACATTGCACGAGCTCCGGATGTTTAAAGATGCAGAGAATCCATTCACTGAGGAGTTCTTCAATCTGTTTCAGCTGATTTACAGGCAGCAGATTTCAATGCTCGAAAAGCTGCAACGTAGGAAGACAAAGCTCGATAAGAAGATCAAGACGATGAAGAAATGGAGGATGGTAACGAATGTACTGTTCGTCTCCGCATTTGTCTCGGTGCTTGTTTTCTCGGTGGTGGCAGCTGCTATCGCTGCACCGCCAGTCATCACAGCATTAGCTGGGGCGTTGACTGTTCCGATTGGTTCGATTGGGAAGTGGTGCAATAATCTGTGGAACAAGTATATGCAGGCATTGAAAGGGCAGAAGGAGTTGGTTAGTATAATGCAGGTGGGGACTTTCATAACGATTAAGGATATGGATACTATAAGGGTGCTTGTGGGGAAATTGGAAGTTGAAATAGAGGGTTTGGCACAGAACGCCGAGTTTGCTCTGCAGGATGAAGGAGAAGTTGCTGTGAAGCTTGTGATTGATGAGATTAAGAAGAAGCTGGATATGTTTAATGAGACCATTGATGCTTTAGCGGAGCACACGCGAAAGTGTAGCCGGGATATTAGCCAGGCAAGGACTGTTATCTTGCAGAGGATTATCAGGTATCCAGGACAATGATGATCTTTGCTGAAACATTCTTTCTTTCAAGTGATAGACGTGCCATTAACTTGCAACCTAAATCATCTATTTACCATATAGAGAGATATCTATTGTTGTTCTTAGTGATACATCTCCTCTAATGCAGGAGGCTTTCTTTTCATGAAAAGAAGCTGTTGGGTTCTTTCTTTATTGTAGCCTACCCTTTTAACATGAGTTGTATTGAAGAGACGTATGATATTGTGATTTTGATTGAGCAGTGTGATTGTTGAAGTTCAATATAATGCAGTTACCTATTTGTCATTGAGGAACCTGTATTGCATGTGTATTCCAAAAATGAAGAGGATTCTGGTTCAGTTTATGGTTGCTCAGCTCAAGCCAGAGAGTTGGAAGGTTGAAATCAGAGTATGACTCTAGGACTTGGATAGAAAGACTCTTCTTTTCACAACTCACAAGTCATCATAGATGACTACAGTTGCTCAATAAGAGAAGTGAAGGTGAATATAACTTGGTAGGTATTGATTTTTTTTTTCATTATATATTCAGTATTGAGTTAGATCGAGTGTTTTTAACTTATTTAGTTTTCTTCGGAGTATTAAACCTCGTTAGTATTGTATGCTATAGTTTTCTGAACTTTTTCGTAAACAATTTTCAATATGAATTTTCAATTGAAAATTGAAACAGAGAAAAGTTGTTAAAACCATCCTATCAACCATAACTATTTTTTCTCAAAACCTAATCACATCACAAGACACGTGAATGGAAATGAAAGAGATTTTTTACCAATTGCAATGTACTTGGTGGTGATGGATTGGTGGTAATTGATTTTCAAATTTTTTTCTTGCTTTCTTTTATGGGGCAAATGGCAAGTTCGGTGATTGAGTGGTCATTGAGTTTACTAAAAAGTGTCATGTTTAGTCACTAGAAATATTTAACAGTTTACATTTGGTCACTCTTCGTTAGTCTCCGTCCAATTCCGTTAACTCAATCCGTTATGTGCTGATGTGCAAACAGAGTGACCTAATCAGCAATTTTTTGCCCTAAAAATTTGAAATCCGACCCACCATGTCAATAAAACTCGCCACATCAGTTTCCCCAACCCGACTTTTCCCGACCTGTGACCCGATTTCTCTCCCTGCAGTTTCCACCTCAGCCTTTTTTTTTATCTCCGCCTTCCTCCATCGTTTCCACCATTGAAGAGGCTGCCGAGAGATTCCGGACACCATCGAAACGAGAGGCTCGTTGAAGAGCTGAATGGAATCCAGAGGCGGATTCAATTGGAGGAGAAATGCAATGAGGGAGGAGTTAGGAGCCGATCGAAAGTTTCCTCTCACCACCATTTTCGTCGACCCTGCACCACCATATTCTTCGTGAGTTGTACCCTCTCCCTCTATCTCGCCGAGCCCATCCTAACGTCACTCTTCTTGTACCCTCTCCCTCTATCTCGCCCCTACGATTAATATCCCATTCTCTGATCTTTATCTTCTTCTTACTTCTCTCCTCCGCCTCTTTCTATTTCTTTTCCGATAAGCCCCTCCATTCTCTGATTTAATGAAGTTTTGATTCCTAGATAAAATTGAATGGGCAAAAGAGGCGTTGAAACGAGGATGTTATTTTGAAGATAAAAAAAAATGATTCCTTTAGTGCGGCTGTGTGGGAGAAGTAGAGCCTCATTTGGGTTTCACCACAATTTCAATCAAAGAACCCAGAAGACCCTTAAACCCCTATTTCACATCATCGATATCGGCAAAATTGCAGATGATATCCATAAGTGTTGCCGTTGCAGCGGCCGACAATCGACCAGGATATTAGGTCAATCATAGTGGGAGGTTTTGGGAGAATTTAATATAGTTGGGGAGAGCGGCAGTGACAATGATTAGGGAACCGACGAGAGCGGTGAGGACGTCAGAGATGATGTTGTATCTTGACCCAGACGATTCCTTGAGATTTGAGGAGCTCGTGCACTTTGGCGATGGGCAGCAGGTCGTTTGAGATGCGGTCGTAGTTGACTCCGACGGTTCTCGCAGAGTTCGTCGGGAAAGGAAGGAGAGGATGATGAAGAGTTCACCTGAAAAATGGTTTGTTGGTTGTTGTTGGGGGAGAAGGTGGGGTGGGGAGGGTCGGGTCAGGGGTTGAGAAGGGTCGGGTTGGAGAAATTGATGTGGCTAGTTTTGCTGATGTGTAGGGTCGAATTTCAAAGTTTTAGGGCAAAAAATTGCTGGTTAGACTTTTCCGTTTGCCACATCAGCACGTAACAGATGCAGTTGATGGAGTTTGACGGAGACTAACGGAGAGTGACCAAACATTGATTGTTTGACTAATTCAAGTGACCAACATTGGAATTAAATATTTCTAGTAATTAAATATGATACTTTTTAGTAAATCCAGTGACCAAACTTATAATTTACCCTTCTTTTATGTGAATGTTTTTTAAGACTACAACAGTGTCAAAATCCTAACAAGTGGTCTGGGCCGGGCGGTGCTACTGGGCCAATCTCTTGAGCTCATTGCAAATGTCGGCCCACATGAAAGCCCCCTCATACTCCGCCCGCTCTCTTCCAGTTCCTCGCTTTAATTCTCAGTTCTCCCCTCCCGCCATCAGGCTTCCAACCAGCCACCGACCGTTAACTCAAAACTCAAAAGCAATCAACGACAGAATCCCCTGTTGCAAGAAAACAGGAATCTTTCATTTCAGTGAAGCGCGATAACCCAAATGTTTTGCCCCAATGGGTTCAAGCGATTTCCCGTCAAGCATTTGATTCTCTTCAGATTCACCCATCTCATCCACAGCCACCAATCACCTCGCCGGAAGCCGATCAAACGCTTCACCAGAGCTTCCAGACGGCCGCTAAAGTCCTCGCGAAGAAAGGAATTAGAAGGACCCAACCCCTACATGCGAACCACCGTCAACAACATATACGGAATCCTGAAGTATTCCGATTGGGAGGCCGCGCAGGATCAGCTGTCCAACCTCAGAATCAAATGGGACTCGTACACGGTGAACCGGGTACTCAAAACCCACCCGCCCATGGAGAAAGCCTGGCTCTTTTTCAACTGGGCGGCCTCGAAGCTGCAAGGGTTCAAGCACGACCAGTTTACCTACACGACGATGCTCGACATTTTTGGGGAAGCCGGGAGGATGGAATCCGTCCGCTACGTGTTCGATAAAATGCGTGAACGAGAGATTGAGATTGACGCGGCGACGTACACTTCGGTTATGCATTGGGTTTCGAAGTCAGGTGATGTGGACGGGGCGGTGAGGATTTGGGAGGAGATGAACGAACAAGGGTGTCGGCCTACGGTGGTCTCGTATACTGCGTTTATGAAGATTCTGTTTGATAGTGGGAGGGTGAAAGAGGCGACAAATGTGTATAGAGAGATGCTTGAAGTTGGAATTACTCCCAATTGTCATACGTATACTGTGCTGATGGAACACCTAGTTGTTGCTGGTAAGTTGATTTGCGAAGAATAGACTGGAGCTTTATGGAGATTTGTCGACTATTTGAGCTTTGTAGATTGTACCCTTTTTCTTCTGAGCTTCTTTTCTATGATGGGTTTTTAGGCAAGTACCAAGAGGCTCTTAACATTTTCAACACAATGCAAGAAGCAGGAGTGCAGCCGGACAAAGCTGCATGCACCATTTTGATCCAGAAATGTTGTGCCAAGGGAGAGACCAAGACAGTGATTCCTATTCTCAATTATATGAATGAGCATCGAATCGTTCTTCGGTATTCTGTGTTCCTGGAAGCATCAAATACTCTACAAGTTGCTGGCGAGAGCGAAGCCCTCCTCAGGCTAGTCAATCCTCATTGCTTTGACGAAGCTTCTGTTTCCACAACTTCTGCAGATGATAATCTTATAGATCGTGGCCTTGTTAATTTTCTCTTGACGAAGAAAAGTCTCATTGCAGTAGACCGATTACTTACTTATATGATGGATAAGAACATGTTGTTGGATGCTTGGACTGTTTCATACGTCGTCGAGAAGAATTGCGAACTTGACAGACTGGACGGTGCTTTATTAGGATTTGAATACAGCAGGAAAATGGGAGTGGGACTTGAAAGAACAGCATATCTTGGCTTAACAGGAAGGGTGATGCGATCGAATATGTTCGATAAGGTACTTGAGATTGTCAGAGAAATGATCAACTCGGGACACTCTCTTGGAATCTATCTAAGTTCTGTTTTTATATACAGGCTTGGGAAAGCTAGAAGACCCACTTGTGCTGCAAAGTTGTTTGGTTTGTTGCCTAGTGATGAGATTTGCACTGCTACTTACAGTGCTCTCATTAGTGTACACTTCTCTGCTGGTACTGCAGAGAAGGCGCTCAAGACTTTTGATGCGATGAGAAAGAGAGGCATTTTGCCTTCATTAGGAACGTACAGAATTCTGTTGGCAGGTCTTGAAAAGTTGGGTAGAGCAAGTGAAGTAGAAGTTTATAGGAGGGAAAAGAATAGCTTATGGAGTCAGGGTAGTCGTCGGGATAATGTTCCCCTAGAGCAAAAGATTTGTGACATTCTGTTTGCTGGGGATTCGATAACTTGATTATATCTGCTGAAAAGTTGCCTCGACACCAGAATGCTTCAGCAAAGCTCAACGCTTACAAGCAAGGAGAGTTGGGGAACGAACTTATAAGAGCTTTGTAACGCTCTCCATGATCTGCACTGGAGAATCCTTCACCATGAGGACTCCTGACACATAATGGGGAATAGTTCGTTGTCAATCTTATTGTATATAGTGATTTTTTGCCTAAATGATAAACTTGATGCTCTTGATTGTCTCGTCGCAGCTTAGTAATCCAAAGTTCTGCACCCCAAGGGACAGAAACTTATGGTGCCTCTTTGGGACCTGAAGAGTCACTCTGATGTTCCCAATCCTTAATATGTAAGGATTTATTTCAGCTGATGTATAGTTATTAGTATTTAAAACTGCAATATTTGCCCAAGAGAGTCCAGATATGTTCATTGTTATCCAGGAAGCCGAAGTTGACTGTCTGGAGAAGGTCAACTGGATTGACCTAATTGATGAAGTGTTGTTGTTCTAATCTAATATGACCCAGCTGTTGGCTACCAAACATTCCCTTCCTGCCTTCGAATTCCATCCTCTCTAATCCAGATATGATCAGGATTGTACTCATCTGCCTTCTCACTCCAACATCATTCCTTCCCTTGTTGATGAGGTAATCGATCTGTTCAGAATAGTCTTTTCTCTCTTTGATGGTGTTCTTTTTACTTATCTTTACACCATTGCACCGAACAAGCTTCCAACTTCCTCAACAGCCTTAGAATATTGCAAATCGTCTACTTGCAGCACACTAAATGAATGCCTAAATAGCTGTATAATTGTGTCATTTTATTTGGGGGGGTTCAAAAAACAAATCTAAAGGCTAAGCCCCATTCAAGTCGTGCCACCTGATCCAATCCATTTGTACCTAATAGACTACATAAAATTTTATAGGTGGGCGAGAGCGTTAAAAATTCAAACTAAGGTGATTACAGTTAGATGTAGGTTTGAGTTTGTTGAAACGGAATAAAACCAAACTGATACTGGTTTCTTGTTAATTCACCATTTATGTTGAATACCAATCTCTATCAACTCGAACTAATTTATGATCGACAACTTTCCATTCTCTTCATTTATGTTTCGACATGGTCAATATAATATATTTCTGTGTGTTTTATGCTTTTAATATCCATTTCCTACAAAACAATTTAACATCCATGATATGGTTGAGTTCATAATATTAATATGTTATCAACTGAACCAAGATGAAGATAATTTATAAGTGTTGGAAGATTACTATTCTCAATAAGAGTTTATTTAAGTTCGTCAAAACTAACCCAAAGTGGAAGATAGATACTCCCACCCAAGGTGGCAAAAGTGGCGACATAGTGATAGAGATGTGGAACTTTTTATTCCTATGTTAATCTTGGAGTAACATATGAGCGACGATCCTTTTGCTTAGCACATTCAGGTCATTAAGCTGAATTTTCGTTTATAATCAAAGAAAATTCTTCCATTGGAGAAAGAGTTTGGTAATCTAAAAAGATCATCATTGATTCTTATTTTATCGTATTATATTATAAAACTTCTTTTTGGGTGGATATACATGTAGATGTTTCAAGTGTATGGGATGAAAGAATAATAATACCAAATTGACAATTCTCCAATCATCAGAAATGGATCACACCCACATATCCTTGTGTTCAATTTCATTTGTTAACTTATTATATAATCACCGATCAATCAAGGAAAGTTCCTGCACAAAATGGTTGCTTGCTTGCTGGGACACAATTCAATCGATTCTTAGCCACTCAATCTACGCAATTATTGTATTACATAAATTCAATTAAATTAAGACCAGCACATGGTTGCTACGTTATGTTCTGTTCTCCCAGACGAATTTTGCTGACTCAACGCGTAGTGTCTCGACAACCAACCCAACCCCGCGCACGTACACTCCTGTCCTAATGCACATTATTAGGTCATATTTTTAAGTGCATAATTAGCTTTGATGAGATCAGGGATTATGGGAATCTAAGTACATAATTAGAAGCATCTCTCTGTACCTTGTGTCACTAATCATGCCACCATGAATTGGAAATAGTCATCCATCAGAACTTAAGCCAACCACCATGAATTGGAGCTGAATAAGCATCAACTGACCATTATTTAAGCTCAGAACAGAGTTCATACATCACCCGTATAAGCTCGTATGTATATCGTAAGCAATTTCCCATATTATCTTATTGCTAGATGATCGAAGGTTGATTGGACCGAAACTTGATGCGGAAAATGGTTTAACGATCAATATCCGAATGATGCCTTGTAGAGCACGTTCCGATAGGTTCCGAATCCTTTCTCAACAAAGCCCTCTTAGTTTTACTCTCTAGTAAACTCACGTATTCTCAGGGGCGGACCAGGGGGTTTTAGGAGTGTCCCTGGACACCCCTAAGTTTCGAGAAAATGATTATCCAACCTCCGGTGGTAATTTACGTATAGACAAACAAAAATATAATTGATGGTGAGGGACACCCCTGAAATTTGAAAAAATGATTATCCTACTGTCATTTGTGTATAAAAATATAAATGGTAGGTTGGGTAATTCAAATCTAGAACACTATTATTATTAATAAACTTAATTTCCATTGAGCTACAACTCATTTGTTGTTAGATTTTGAATAATGTGTAATAGTAAAAAGTCATTCCCTTTCTCTAATTATTTCAATCTAAACTAATTTCAATCTACCCTTAATTTGTATTGATTTTATGATTGTACGGCAAGTGTTGAAGAAACTTTCAGCTTTGGGTTACATCAAGAACAAGTTTACAAATCGAATATGCGATAAGTTCCTGAATGATTTTCTAGTAGGGTATATGGAGAATTTTTTTTAACACTATGAAAACCAAGTGTATTCTACAATTATTTTCGAATATGAAAACACATCATGGACTTTTTTAACCTGTACGAGTAAGGTATTTTTCATATTTATGATTTTTTTTTATTAATTATTTTTATTTAATTTATTTTTTAAAAGAGGGCACCCCTATGGAAAATTTCTGGGTCCGCCACTGCGTATTCTTGATAGGGAGATTATGTGTGTTGGTTTGGATATCAATAGCTCCATAAAACTCTAGGTAGATATGTATGTAGTTTCCACCTATTAGATCTAGGTTGTTGGGTTTGAGTAATCACGAGCTTCATAAATGAACAACTTGTAGTTAGCTCATCGAAAACAAATAACCAATGTAATGTGTTGTGAATTGTCAATCCATTTAGAAAATGAAATTCACGACACGTTCTGCATTTAACGCACTCAACGATATTTCAAGCTTCATATATGGTTACAGTTGACTGTTATATAACTGAATCCCTGTTACTTTTAGGATCCTGAAATTATCAACACTTTTTATTTGTTTATGAAGAGACGAATACTATTGTATCCTAATTATCATTACTGATTAAACGAGTTTAAGCAATGTGCATGCACATCATAATGAATCCATGTAGAGGTGGCAAATGGATTGGATTTATGGATTGGATTGATGGATTCATGGATCAAATGGATTGGACCCAATAGATTCATGGATTCATGGATTGGATCAAGCGGATTAGTGGATTATCCATGAATCCAAATAACATCCTCAACCTTGGACTAATATGTAAAATGTGAAAAGTTTAGATACTAAAATGTCATAATGAAAAAATTTAGGTACCAAAATATAATTTTCCAATGATATTTTTCGTATAAAAATTAACATTTAGGTACCAAAATGTAAAATATAAAAAATAAGGTACTAAACCGTAATTTGTCATTTGGATCTGTTGATGTCGAGGTTGTAACCGATGTCGACTTCCTCGATCTTAGGGCCCGCAACGATTTGAAGTGCCCCTTTACGGTAACCTTCTTTTGTGACGTCGCCTCCGATCGCTTCCTGCAAAAAAGAGCCCGCCGGCCGATATCGGCGGGGGCACCCTCCGACGCTCAAGTTAGTCCCTAGTGTGGGGGATTGAGTAGTTTACAAAGTGTTTGTAGGAGGTGAGCTCGGGGGGTGAGAGTCACTTATTGCAGTGGGCGCTCTCCAGGTACTTCCCCCGGTCTCCTGCCTTACCTTTTACTGGAGAGAATGGGCTAGTTATATAGTAACTAACAGGGGGGCAACGGGAGGACAGGTGTCTGCGCCGGAAAGACACGTCACTGGACATGTGTCGTCTAGGCCCATCTGCTCCCGCCACGTGGTTGTACACATGTCAACCATGTTTGTGCCTAAGGGGAACACTTATGCCACATGCAAACTAATTGAGTAGAGGGCATGACACATGTGCAGGTAATACACATGCAATGGATACAGGTGGGGAGAATAGATGCGGATCCGGGCGTCGGGAGCAGGGGGTGACAGCGGGCCCGGGCGCCGGGAGGAGGGGGTGACAGCGGGCCCGGGCGCCAGGAGGCGGGTGGAGCTCGGAATCAGTATTGGGCACGGGCGCCGAGCACCGGACGAGAGGCGAAGGCCTGGCGCCGGAAGCCGGGGCAATGGCGGGCCCGGGAGCCGGGGTCTGGGAACTGGACGAGAGGTGAAAGCCCGTCGGCGGGAACCGGGGCAATGGTGGGCCTGGTGCCGGGAGCCGGGGTCTGGGAACGATAACCAGACCAGGCACCGTGAACCGGACGAGAGTTGAAGGCCCGTCGTCGGGAGCCGGGGCAATGGTAGGCCCGGGTGCTGGGAGACGGGGTTCGGGAACGATAACGAGCCCGGGCCCGGGCACCGGAAGAGAGGTAAAGGCCCGCCGCCGGGAGCCAGGGCAATGTTGGGCCCGGGTGCCGGGAGCTGGGGTCCGGGAACGATAACGGGCCCGGGCACCGGACGAGAGGTGAAGGTCCGCCGCCGTGAGCCGGGGAAATGGTGGGCCCGGGTGCCGGGCTCGGAGGTAGGAACCCTAATCTTGGGGCAATCGCGAGGCACTGTATGATTTAGTGTTGGCGGGCCATGGCACAATTGGGTACTAATTGAAGCTGGACGGGCCTGACCCAACGCTTCACCGGAGAGAGTCGTGGGCTGAGCACGATTGTCGGCCCAGGTGCAATAATGCACTATTTGAGCAGATTGTGAACTGGTGCTGTAAAAATATTTTTACATTGGGTATATCAATTGCCCCCCTTGCCGGCGAGAATCTGAAGATTCTCGGGGGCAAGCATGGTCTGCCCCGTGGTCAATTCCCAAATTTAATCTTGGAGTTTATTAGAAGACTATATATCTTTTATATATTTTTTAT